AGGGAGGGAGAGACAGAGACAGACAGAGAGAGGGATGGAGGGAGAGGGCAGATTCAGCTGAATGGGGTGAAGCTGGATTGCAGAAGGGGGGGGAGGGAGGGAGAGACAGAGACAGAGAGAGGGATGGAGGGAGAGGGCAGATTCAGCTGAATGGGGTGAAGCCGGACTGCAGAAGGGGGGGGGGGGGGGGGAGAGACAGAGACAGACAGAGAGAGGGATGGAGGGAGAGGGCAGATTCAGCTGAATGGGGTGAAGCCGGACTGCAGAAGGGGGGGGGGAGGGAGGGAGAGGGAGAGACAGAGAGGATAGAAAGAGGGGGGCGGCACTGGCTTTTCGGGGTGTGGCTGACCCCCACCCCCAAGACGACCCAGCCCAGCAGCTGATCTGGGCTGGGGGGATCCCGCAGACAGAGGGGAACTCTTCTCGCCCCCCCCCATCTCCCAGCCCGGGGTCACCCCCACCTTTCTGCCCTCCCCCCCCCGTTCTCACGGCCCCAGCCCCAGGCTGGGCCAGCCCCCCGCGCCCCTCACCCAACCAGACCCCTGTAAAGCGCTCAGCACGGCGCGGGGCACACAGTAGGCCTTCAGGAAATGCTTCCTCCCTGTCTCACCCGGACTATCCCTCTTAAGTGGGCAGAGAAGGGCACAGAGAACGCCCCCCTCCTGGACAATCACGGCCGGACAGAGCCGGACGAGGGGAGGCCACCTCACGGACTGACCCCCCGCGGCTCCGGGGAAGGCGAGGGACCCTCTTCTGGGGGTCCGAGTGCGAAGACCGCGCAGGACTTCCCGCTCACGCTCTCCGTCAGCCAGTCAATCGACAAACATGGCTGAAAGGCCCGCCGTGGTGTGCCGGACGCTGACGGGGCCAAAGGGGAACGGACCCCTCCCGGGGACCTTTCGTGGGCGGGGAGGGGGCTGGGGGCTGAGCGATCGGAGGGCCAACGCATGGATTAAGCACCGACTGTGTACACACCGGCACCCCACGCACAACGAGGTCCGGGGAGGGCGGCCACGCGGTGGGATGGGCAGCCGGGGGCGGGTGGGGAAGCGCCGAGTTCAAATCCTGCCGCAGACACAGCGGCTGCGCGGCCCTGGGCCAGCCGCTGAACCTCTGCCGGCCTCAGTTTCCTCAACTGTAAAATGGGGGTGCTATCACGACCGAAGCGTCGAGCACAGCGTCCGGCACACCGCAGGCGCCCCCTCGGGCTTGGGGAGCCGAGCGGGGAGGGGGCGGACGTGGCGGAGAGCTCGCTGGGGCCGCGAGCCCCGGGCGGCGCCCTCTCCACTCACCCAGCAGGGCTGCTTCTCCCGCCGGCCTCCAGCTCAGGGCGCTCACTGAGGGGGCGGGGGGACAGAGGCGCCTCTGATTGGCCGAGGCCGCTCCCGGACTGTCCAATGGGCACAGCCGCTGGCGGAAGAGGCGGAGCCCGACGCCACACCGCGAAGGCCCACGGGGGGCGGGGCCGAGACCCAGGGCCGGGAGCGCCGCCGCCTCCTCCGCCCTCGGGCTCGGCCTCGGCCTCGGTCCGGCCAGGGACGCCGGACTGCCGGACTCGGCCCCGGGGCGGCCGACGCGCAGTAGAGCCAGGGAGGCCGGGAGCACGGCAGAGACCGGAAGGGGCTGACGACAGCCGGGCCGCGGGGCGGAAGTGACGTCTGCGCCTTCCTGCCCGCCTCCGCGTCTATGGCAACTGCAGTGATTGGCAGGAGAGCGGGGGGCGGGGCGGGGAATCGGGAGTCCAAGAAGGTCTCTGGTGCCCCCTTGGGGTTGGGCGGCCGTGCTGCGCCCTGGGAGGCCTCCACACTCCAGACTCCAGACCCCAGCCACCCCTCTCAGTGTGCCAGGCGCAGTGCTAGGTCAGGCGAAGGTCAAACAGCCCCTGCCCTCCGGCAGCTTGGATGAGAGGCCTCTGTCAGGGGAATGGAGAGCCGCCTCCACCGACCCACACTGGCTGAAGGACCCTGGATCAGTCCCCTGATCTGGACTGGTCAGAGGGGCACCGTTCCCTTCCGGAAAACTGATGTTCAAGGCCCCTTCTCACCAGCGCTGTGACCCATCTGCTGACCTGGGGAGGGAGCTTCCGTTCTAATGGAGGAGCTAACATGTCAATAACTGTGTACAAACAAGACATGAACACAGTCAATGGGAATAACCCAGAGAGGAGGCTGGGCAGACCAGGAAAGAGTGGGGGGAGCCAGGAGGGCTTGGAGGCACCATGGACACCAGAAATGTCATGGAGGGCTTACACCAGGGGGTGGCCGAATGAGCGGAGAGAAGGTAGGGAAAACTTGTGAAGAGGGACGACTTGGAGGGAAAGGTAACGAGTTTGTCCTGGCCGGTGTGTTACGTGTAAGATGGCATCCAGTTGGACCTGTTCACCTGGCAGTCGGTCGTGTGGGACTACAGCTCAGGAGAGAAGAATGTGGCTGGATGTGTAAATATAAGGATCATCTGCAGAGTTGATAATTGAATCCATGAGACCTAATGAGCTCTCCAAACAAAATAGCCTTAAAGGAGAAAAAAGAGCCAAGGGCAAACCCTTGGGGGACACAGACGTTTAGTGGCTATGACACGGATGAGAATCCAGCAAAGGAGACTAAGAAAGATCAGTCACGTAGGGAGGAGAACCAAGAAAAGGCAGCATCATGAAAACCTGGAGAAGAGAGGCTATCCAGGAGGAGGTGATCAACAATGCAAAATGTTACAGAGAGATCCAAGAAGAATCAGGGCTGAGAAAAGGCCATTGGATTTGGAAAGTGAGAAATAATTTGAAGACAGCAGTGACAGCTGAGTGATCAATCAATCAATAAACCTTTTTTAAGTGCCTTCTATGTGCCAGGCACTTGGCTAAATGCTGGGAATACAAAAAGAGGCGAAAGACAGTAACGGGAATGGAAACCAAACTGCAAAAGGAAAGAAGAGGCAGAAGAGAGGAGGGAGTGTAGATGGCTGTCTCAGGTTCAGTTCAAAAAGGGAAGATACAGGATGACAGCTGGCACAGATCAAGAAAGAACTTTTTTGTTGTGGGTTTTTTTTTTTAAGTAGGTGATTTCATATGTGTATGTATGTATGTATGCATTCTTTTCCCCCAATTATATGTTAAAACAATCTATTTTTTAACGTTATTTAAAGTTGTGAGTTCCAAATTCTATCCTCTCTCCCTGAGATAACAAACAATCAGATTTAGGTCATTCATGTACAATTATGTAAAACATTTCCATATTAGTAATTTTCCACAAGAAGACTTGAATAAAAGAAAAAAATGAAAGAAAATGAAAAATAGCATGCTTCCGTCTATGTTCAAACGATATCAGTTCTTTCTCTGGAGGTGGATAGTAAGTGTCATCATTAGTTCTTTGGGTTTCTTTTAGATCATTGCAGTGCTGAGAATAGCTAAGTTGTTTACAATTCTTCATCGAACAATATTCTTCTTACTGTGTACAATGTTCTTCCGGTTCTGTTCACTTCATTATGCATTAGTTCATGTAAGCTTTTCCCCATTTTTCTGAAATCATCCTGCCTGTCATTTCTTATAGCACAGCAATATTCCATTACGTTCACATACCACAACTTGTTCAGCCATTCCCCAATTGATGGGTATCCCTCCGATTTCCAGTTCTTGGCCACCACAGAAAGAGCTTCTATAACTATTTTTTGTACAAATAGGTTCTTTCCCCCTTTTTTATGTCTTTGGGATATAGACTTAGTAGTGATATTGCTGGATCACAGGGTATGCAGTTTGATAGCCCTTTGGGCATAGTTCCAAATTGCTCTCTACAATGGTTGGATTAGTTGACAACTCCACCAACAGTGCATTAGTGTCCCAGTTTTCCCACATCCCTTCCAACATCCATCATTTTCCTTTTTTTGTTATATTAGCCAATCTGATAGGTATGAGGTAGTACCTCAGAGTTGTTGTAATTTGCATTTCCAAGAGGAGGCTTTGGAAATATGTGAAAGACAGGTGTGTTCATAGGCAAGAAGCAAGGATCCAGAAAATAGGGAGAGATTGGAGACTGATGAATCGGGATAATAATAACTAGCATGTATCTTGTGGTTTTGAGGTTTTAAAGAGCTTAACATGTGCTGACTCATTTGATCCTTACAACAACCCTGGCAGAGAAGTGCTACTTATCCTCATTTTCTAGATAGAAAACAGGGCCAGAGAAATTACCCAGGGTCACACAGTTGTGTGAGGCAGGTTTTGAAGTCAAGTTTTCCTGAGTCCAAATCTAATACTCTATACCTGAGCCACTGGAAAATACACGAATGCATGGGATCAAGGGTGCATGACACAGAGAAGGTCCCCCTTTCCATGTGATGAGAGGGAAGGAGGAGATAGTGGGAGAAGATGTTTGAGTACTATGAGATAAGGAGAAGGAACTCCCAGGAAATGGCCCCAGTGAAGCAGTTTTTCATGGAAGACTGAGGCAAGGTCCCTAGTGACAGGTTAGACCGGGAGTTCTATGGGAGGTTTGAAGCCAGTCAAGGCCTAGAATAGGAGGTGTGCAGAGTGGGTAGCGAATCAATTTAGGGAGGGGAAAGGATTGCCTTGATGCAGCAAGGGCCCTGTTGAGATTACGTAGCACAACTCTGTGGGGGACCCAGTCAGGATGGCTTTCTGAGTTTGTCCAGCTCCATTTAGCTTGCATGAATATGCGTGGAGACAGCTGGAGAGCAGTCCAGGGCTGGTTGGTGACGGGACAAGACACAAGGGAGTCCAAAGTACAGACGGTGTGGAACTGAACCGCTCCCCAAGAAGTAAGGATCGAGGGGGGACGAGAATATAGCAAGTGCAGGGAGAGTGGGGAACTTGGCTGGGGGAGAACTAAAGCAGAGGGAAAGATGGAATACAACATATGATCAAACCAAGTTGATGAACAAGTACAACATGGAGAGAATTAGGAAGGTCAGGATGTGGCCATCTCTATAGGGAATAGGGAGGGAAAGGACTACGCATTTATGTGACACCTAAGGGGTATACGAGTGTTCAAGGACACCTCATACCTCTGGAGTGAGGACCGGTGTTCCTTTACCAAGAAAGTCCCACAGTAGAAAATCTCACTAGGAGCCCAGGGAACCCAGAAGATCGACCCGTCCAGCAGGCACCGTGAAGAGCTCAGTGGCTTAGTGACCAATCTAACCTTGACCAGCAGGACCAACCTGTTCTAGTATGGAAGTAATCCAATGACTGAGTGTCGTGTCTGGTCCAATCCAGAAACATCTGTGCCCTTTGGGCAAACAACCTGCCCAGTCCAGCCCAGCTGCAGCCCTATCAGGCCACTATCAGGCCTGAGAGGCCCTGTTCTTATGTCTTCTGTATAACTATGACCTCTCACTGGGGCTTCACCTCATTCCATCCCAAAGGCAGTGCCTCTGGCCCTGGGACATCCACACACTTCCACCTTCACAACCCGGTAGCATTTCAGTTACTGGGGAGGCAGGTGGCAATGTCAAAGAAACTAAACAAAATTGAGGAATGTTAAAGGAACGTTACCATTCTGATGACAGATTCATATGTATTTATTTGATCAAAGATTATTTTAATTTATAATTTTTATTAACCAATGTGCATGAATGGGTTTGTACGTAAATGTGTACAAGCAACATGTTTTGATGGACAGTCTTGGAGTCTGAAAGCCCTGGGTTCCCTGCCCCTGATGCTACTGGTTGAATGACTACAGACAAACCACTTAACCTCTGAGTGTCCCAGTCAGTGTTCTCAGCCTATAAGTTACAAATTGTTGATGTGCATTGGCTTCTCTTTTAGGAGTCTCCTATGCTGTAAAATCACTGTTCCAGGCTGGAAAAACATACAGATTATAGTTTATATACACAAACACATACATGGAAAAATAATATAGATTTAGGTAGAAACAGATATAAAGATACAGATATATGGAGAGGTAGCATGACGTACTGGGTTGAGAGCTGGCCTCTGAGTCAGGAAGATCTGGATACATGTCTGACCTCTGACACAGACCAACGTGTGAACCGAGACAAACCACCTGACCTCTCAGTGTTCAAGGCAACTCTCTAAGACTGCTAGCTGCAGAGAAGGTGCCAACATGCATTGGTAGAAAAAGCTCCTCGCCTGGAGCTCCTTACACTGATGAAATTACAGGTCCAGAAAAAAATAGAAATAGAAATGTGGATATATAGAAATATGCATATATGTACATAGAGTGCATAGCTAAATAGATAGGATAAAAATCTAGACCCTTCTGTCAGATGCTCTATCCTGATATGAAGAGCTTGGATTTGAGGGACCTCTCGTGGGAATTAGAACTACCCAATCTGCAAGAAAAACCACTGAGGCAAAGCTCTAAGCCAATGGTTCTTCATTAAAGGGCCCATAGTCCTCTCTAATGAAGTGGAAGCCAGACGGTCTGAGATACCCCCGGTCCCCAGGACACTGTTTTTATATGGTTTGCTAGCCAAATAGGCAAAAGAGGCATGGCAAAATGCAGAATCTTGTTCGTTGATAGACCTTGCTCTTGAGGGCCAAAAACGACACATCACCAAGGGGGTCACAGGTTGGGTGAAGCACGGAGCATCTCCACTGACCAAGGGGTCACAGGATGGTCATAAGATGGTCACCTGTTCATGTGGGACGAGACAGCAGCCCAGAGGTACAAAAATCAGCTGGGAGACTTTCCAAAGAAAGAAGGCATCCTGTCCATGCTGGGTTTGGACATGGAATTTAAATAAGACAGGATGGAGATTTAAAACCAAATCTCACTGGGAGCACTTGGGGAATTTCTGTAGTGCAGGGCCCATCATCACATCTTCCCCTCCTGGTTGAAACTCACCAAAACTGTTCCACTGAAATAAAGAAGCCAAGTGTCATCCGAACAAATTCTTGACGTAGCCCTGCACTCGGCTGCAAAAAAACAAAAATAGGTTCTCTCTGTGGCCGAGAACCCAGAACTTTGGTCTTCGCCCTGCTAATACAGTTTGGGGCGCACAGGGAGGACCAGCACCTCTGGTGTGAGGGCTGACCGAGCCCTCTTCAGGGCCGCTCAGCCACCTTTCTTGTCTAGCTGGCACTCAGCTCACTCATGGCTCCAAGAAGCTGTAGCATATGCAATGGCCACACACCACTAAACCAACTTGGCAGATGGCTAAACCAGGCTGAGGGTAACTGAGGGGCCTCAAATCCATCGGTGAGTTAGGGGTGTCTACCCCAAGCATGTGAAGAGCGCCCCAATGGAAGGGAGCAGATGAGAACAACGACCATGAGGGCAGCCAAAGCAGGCGCTGTCGAGCACCACGAGCGTGGTCAGACACTGAAGACGCCACAGTCTCCGATGCGTCCCGGCCATCACCAGTCATCTTGACCTTTGTCCTGTCACTAGACTCTGATGACTCTGGAAGAGAAAGTGAGATAGACAACTGCTCACAACTCTGCCTCCCTTCAACTCACCAAGTCGAGACGTCACCTTGTGACATCACTGGTCCTTTTTGAAAACAAAGGAGAAACAATGACGTTTACAAATATTATTTCCTTTAATCCTCACAACCCCACAAGGTAGGTGTGATGATGATCCCCACTTTACAGCTGAGGAAACTGAGGCCAACAGGGTTAAGTGACTTTCCCAGGGTCACACAGCTAACAAGTCTCTGAAGCCAAACAGAGACTCATTCTCCTGACTCCAAGTCCGAGCTCTGTCCCTGCACCACCAGCTGTCTACAGCTGACAAGGAGTGGAAGAGGAGGTCGTGGGAAATGAATAAGTTGTGCAACTGGGAGGTGAGGATGTCGAGGAGCTTCAGTGTATGTGCTGAATTCCCCGAGTGTGAGGGGAGGCAGACCAAGCTGGCACTGACTCACCAAGTAAGGAAGGGAAGTGGCCTGAGGAGGTAAGTCACCCGAATTGGCTGATGAATCTGGAGGGAGGAAGGGTCTGGAGTCAAAGGGCAACGGGTAATGGAAGAGGGGGCCAGGAACACAGGGTCGTGGGGAGGGCTCCGGCGCAGTGAGAGCCAGGGGATGGCAGGAGTGGGGATGAAAGAAGTGTTTTGTTTTGAATTATGGAGCACAGTGGAAGGGGTAGGAGATCTGGAGTGAGCACTGGCAGGGTCCTGTGGAAGAGGCTGGGTGTGAGGCAGGGGGTGGGTGGGATTGGACACTGGGGTTTGTCTCTCAGTAGCTGGGGTTTCAATCCGTGCGGTGGGGAGAGAATAGGAGCGTGTGAGTTGAGGCGTGCGTCCAGGTAGAGTATCGGTGACTGGAGAGAGACCCATGGATGGAGGCTGGTGCTAAGGCCCCCCTCACAGTCTGACCTCCTAGCGAGTGGTGATGTGTTCTGTGAGGCTTTATTTTAAACTAAGCACTTAACAGAGAGGAAAAGCGAGGATGAAGAGAATAAGCAGGTAGATAAATAAAAGAAATGATATCAAGCAAAACTCTAAAACCAGGGTGAGATTAACAAAGAGAAGACGCTATAAAGGGAGGGAGGGCCTCAGGGGTGGGGAACCTGTGCCTCAAGGCCACACGTGGCCTTCTAGGGGTTTGGACCCAGTCTAAGTTTGACAGAACAAATCCTTTCATGAAGGGGATTTGGTCTGTGAAGTTTGGATTCAGCCAAAGGGCTGCACTTGAGGACCTAGAGGGCCAGATGGCCTCAAGGCCTCAGGTTTCCCACCCCTGGCTATGAGAATAAGAATACATCAAAGGAGATTAAGCAAAATTAAACTAATCATAAGGTACACATCAAGGTACTGATTCAAAATAGGAAGGGAAAAAATTCTGATAATAAAACAATGCTGGAGACACAAGTGGAGGAAAGCATAAACCCAACTTTCATCATTTTAAATGTAAGTGGATCAAAGAAGCCGATGAAATGAGGGTGACAATGGATGAGAAAGTTAATTTCCACACTATGTTGTTTACAAAAACACACCTAAAAAGTAAAGACAATCATAGAACAAAAATGAGAGGCTGTAACAAAATGTACTATGCATCAAATAAATCTCAACCAGCTAATCTTACAAAGCAAATATAAAAAGAATTGATATTATCCCGAAGAGAACCACAGACAACATGACAATATCAGTATTAAATTCACTTGCTTCAAATAGTATAAGATCTAAATTCATCAAGGAAAAATCAACTGAATTACAAAAAGACTCAATGACAACATCAACCTCACAACTTCATGCCATATACCACAACAAATTCAAAATGGATACAGAACAGTCTAGATGATGCCATTTTTAAAAAGAAACAGCTCATGATACTGTGCACAGCTATGGGGGGAGGGGCGGCAGGGTAGAGGAAAGGGAAGGAGGTGGTGAATTCTTAACCAAATGAGAGGTAGGCAATTAGAAATGACAAAACTGATACTTAGGATTATATCAAACTGAAAAGCTTTTGCATGAACAAAATTAATACAACTAGGATGTAAAAGAGAAGTAGGTGACTGGAAAAATATCTGTTATCAAGTAGTTCTGATAAGAGTTTCATATCCAAGATATATAGACAACAAAAATATATGAGAACAAAAGCCATTCCCAAATAGAGTAGCAGTCAAAGAATGTGAACAGTTTTCAAAAAAAATTACAAACTGTCTATAACCTAGGAAAGAAAGTTCCAAATCAGAGGCAGCTAAGTGGCACAGTGGATAGAGCACTGGCCCTGGAGTCAGGAGGACCCGAGTTCAAATCCGGCCTCAGACACGTAACACTCACTAGCTGCGTGACTCTGGGCAAGTCACTTAACCCCAATTGCCTCACCAAAAAAAAAAAAAAGTTCCAAATCACTTAACAATAAGGCAAATGTGAACAGTATAATGGACCAATGACTCCATGAGACAACAAGAAATACTTTATAACAAAAGCCTGGAAAAAATCAAAGAAAATATAAGGTGTCTTATAGCAAAAATAACTGACCTAGAAAACAGAATCCAGGGGGAAAAGATTTAAGAATCACTGATTGAAAACTATGACCAAAAAAAGAGCTTAGACACAGTATTTAAAGAAATCTTAAAAGCCAAAGTGCAAAGTGGAAATAGAAAAAATACATATATTACCACCTGAAACTTCAAAATGAAAACTCCCAGGAATACTATAGCCAAAATCCAGAGCTTTCAGCAACATGCCCCCCCCCCCCAAAAAATACTCTAAATAACCAAAAAGAAAGAATCCAAGTACTGAAGACCCAAGTCAGGATCACATATGATTTCACAGCCACCACTACAAAGATTCAGAGAGCTTAGAACACAGTATTCCAAAAGGCAAAGGACGCTTACAACCAAGAATAGGTTGCCTAGTAAAATTGAGCATAATCCTATGGAGGAAAATGTACCTTTAATGAGAGAGAAACGTTCCAGGCATTCCTGATGAAAAAGGCCAGTGCTGGACAGAAACTCTGAAGTTCAAACACTAGAGTTAAGAGAAACATAAAAAGCAAATATGAATGAACCATCGTGAAGGACTGAAGGATTAACTGCTTACATTCTATTATGGGAAGATGAAACATGTGCCCTCCCAAAAAAATAATCTTATCATTATCAGGAGTCATAGAGTCTACTTAGACAGAAGGCCTGAATATGTTTCTGTTATATCCTGATAATCTTAAAAGAACTGAGGGGAAGAAGAAGGCACTAGAGGGAGAAAAGGAGAGGAAGGTTAGAGAAATTCTCTTCTGTGTAAGTAGAAATCTATACACACAAGGAGGTGGGGCAGGGACACTTGAACCTCACTCTTATCTGAACTGGTCAAAAGAAGAAAGATACATAAACACACACAGAGTTGAGTACAGACATATTTCACTCACCAGAGAAAGAAGAGGCAAAAGGGAAAAGAAAACTAGTCCTAAATAAAACAAACGTCAAGATGAACAAAAATATTTATAACAGATTTTTGTGATAGCAAGGAATTGGAAACTGAGGGGATGCCCATCAACTGAGGAACGGCTGGGAAAGCACAAGAGCATCACGCATTATCAAGAACCCGTGGAAGCACGCTGTCAGGAAACTGAGGTAAAGCACTGATGGTCCTCTCCGGGCCACCAACATCTGCCAAATTTGGCTGCCCAGAGAAGTTTATCAGTATTGAAAACCTAGAGAAGAGACTGTTGAGGAGGAGGAGGTGATCAACAGTGGAGAAAGCCATAGAGAGCTCAAGGAAAATGATGACTGAGAAAATGCCACTGTATCTAGTAATTAAGGATGATGATGGAGGTGGTGGTGGTGACGATCTCACAACAATGTACTGCTCACCACGGCAGGGAAATCTTCAGAAATCATTTCATCCCTAAATCAAGATCAGATGAAATAAGAAACCAAAAGGAAAATAAAAGTCACCAAGTTGTCAACAAGCATTTTATTAATCAATTATGGTGCGCCAATCACATGGTGCTGGGGATACAAAAAAAAGGGCAAAAGACAGCCCGTACCCTCCAGGAGCCCACAGTGTCTAATGGGGGAGACAGGGAGCAAACAACTACGTACAAACAGGAAATAGAGAGAGGATGAATTGGAAATCATCTTAGAGGGAAGGCACGCAATCAAGGAAGACCAGGGCAGCCTCGTGCAGAAGAGACTTTAATTGAGACTTGAAAGAAGCCAGGGAAGGCAGAAAGCAAGGAGGAGGAGGAAGAGTATTCCAAGTATGGGAGACAGCCGCTGTAAAGAGTCGGAATCAGGAGATGCAGTGTCTGGCGTGAGGAACGAGGCGGCCAGCGTCCCTGGATCCTGGAGAACATTAGGCCACTGTGAAACATTGCTGCACGCTGCAAAAACTGAGGAGTTACCAAATGCCGAGCAAGAAAAGACCTGGCTGATAGAATAATATACCATAAACTTGCCAACTTTCATGGACTGACAGAAAACCAACCTCCTTCCACAGATATAAGCTTCAAAACATCCTGGCAAACTCCACAAATAAACTGGTGTATATTCCATAGAAAACGAGGTGCATGTTATCCGTCTTTCTCTCTGCTTACCAGACTGGTCCCAAAGATGTTTTCAGTGATTACAAAGAAAATGAATTTAATCCCAATATTCTTGTTCAAGCGATGGTCATTTGTTCCACCAGCCAAAAAAAAAAAAATGCACAGAACATTAAATACAGAATAATAGAGCTATAACTTGTCTATGAAACATTATGTGTGTGTATATACATACATGGAAATAATACTGGGATAGCGACTTGTCTGTTTCTGTCTGAAACCCACTCAAAAAGATTAGAATAAGGCAATGATCATAAGAAAAGCACATTAAGCAATAAAGGTATGAAACTATGTGATCTATCACTACAGGGTACCAGGTACCTAGAAAGACACAATCAGGTGGCCAAGATGATACACCAGCATATTACTGTCCTTTACTTTCTATACTACAAATACAAACCCCAAGTTTTCCTTGAGAATTTAGCAAATACACTGAACTGGAAAAGAAGTAGCATTTCTGACAAAACTGTTGCCTACTACAGGAAGTGAAGGGAAACAAGCATTTATTAAGTGCCTACTGCATGCCAGACAATATGCTAAGCGCTATTTACAAATATCTCATTTGACTGTCACAACAACCCTACAGAGTAGGTGCTACTATTTCCATTTTATAATTGAGGAAACTGAGGCAGACAGGATAAGTGACTTACCCAGGGTCACATAAGTAGTATCTGAGGCCAGGTGCCAATCAACATGATATAACATTTGCCCATGACAGTTTAAAAACAGTATTTTTAGCAGTTGACACATACTAGTCATAATCTCCCAAGTACATGGAATGAAAGTTTCCGAAAGGAACCAGGACAGGACACAGGCCAGCCCTGGAGTCCTTTCTGTTCCTGGAGTCATCGCATAAAATGTTTCTGTGTCCAAAGAGGAGCTTACATTGAATAAGAATTCAATTACAATGAGCAGTCATGTGACTGAGTCCACAGAACAGAAAAGACTGACAGAGGAGTGTGCCACTTCTCCTTGGCCTGCTTCTATCGGAACTCCATCAAAAACAGACAAGGGAATGATGAAAACAGGAAGGTCGTCCCTGCCGTGCTTCCTGTTACTGTGGCTGTCCCACCTGGCCTACAGAAGAACTCAGACCAATTACATTTAACACCAAAAAACAGTTATTTCAACAACCTAAGAAAGAGGTGCGGCATTTTAAAAGACTATTAAGTAGGATGGCCAATTGTCCCAGAACTGTTAACATGGAGTACTGGGTTATTTACCATGTTAAGGAACTCTCATACATTACTCAGGAGCCTGGTGCACTGGAAAGAACCCTGGATCAGGAAGCGGATGACCTGAATTCAAATCCTGCCTCTTAATACGTACAACCTCTGTGATCTTGAGCAAGTCACTTAATCTCTCTGGGCTTCAGTTTGCTCATCAGGACACTAAAGCAGTTGCATCAGATGAGGTTTCTTCCAACTATAAATCTAGGAACCTATGAATTTCACATATCTATTACATTCCCAAGTTACTTCACCACTCTAAGTCATCTTGGGTTGAAGAAATTCTATGTTCTAGGGGAAGGCCTTCTTACATGTTTAAGGTTCTCTCCAGCATGAATTTTCTGATGTCTAGTGAGGTGTGGTCTCCAGTAAAAGGCCTTCCCACATTCATTACATTCATATGGTTTTTTCCCAGAATGAGTTCTCTGGTGCCGATTAAGTTCTGTGCTCTGACAGAAAGCTTTCCCACATTCATTACATTTATAAGGTTTTTCTGCAGTATGAGTTCTCCGTTGTCTAGTAAGTTCTGTGTTCCGGGAAAAGGCTTTCCCACATTCATTACATTTATAAGGTTTGTCTCCAGTATGAATTTTTTGGTGTCTAGTAAGGTCTGGTTTCCGGCAGAAGGCTTTTCCACATTCATTACATTTATAAGGTTTTTCGGTAGTATGAATTGTCTGATGTCGAGTAAGGTGTGAATTCTGGTGAAAGGCCTTTCCACATTCATAACATTCATAAGGTTTCTCTCCAGTATGAATTCTCTGGTGTGATTAAGGTGGAACTGTAGTGGAAAGCCTTCCCACATTCAGAGCATTCATAACGTTTCTCTCCTGTATGAGTCCTCTGGTGTTGAATAAGCTCACTGCTCCAGTGAAAGGCCTTCCCACATTCATTATATTCATAAGGTTTGTCTCCACTATGAATTTTCTGATGATGTGTAAGGTGTGAGCTCCAGTGGAAGGCCTTCCCACATTCATAACATTCAAAAGGTTTCTCTCCAGTATGAATCCTATGATATTGAAGAAGACATGAGCTATAGCGCAATATCTTCCCACAGTCACTGCATTTATAAGATTTTTCTCCTGTATGAGTTCTCTGATGTTGAACAAGCTCACTGCTCCAATGGAAAGCCTTCCCACATGCATTACATTCATAAGTTTTCTCTCCACTATGAATTTTCTGATGATGACTAAGATGAGACTGCTATTGGAAGGCCTTCCTACATTCACTGCATTCATAAGGTTTCTCTCCACTATGAATTCTTTGGTATTGAATAAACTCACTGTTCCGGTTTAAGGCCGTTCCACATTCACTGAGAAGATTTCTCTCCAGGATGAATTCTAAGATGCCAAGTAAATTCTGCCTTCAGACGGAAGGCTTTGAAACATCTTTGACACTCATAAGGTTTCTCTCTAAAACATGTACTATGTTCTTCCATAAGTTCTAAATTACAACTGAAGGATTTCACACATTCATTACACTTAGAAAACATCTTTGAGCAGATTCTCTTACATTTCCTTAGACCTGAATACAGCCTGGGACTCTTCTTGTGTTTCTCATATTCAAAGAGACTCTTTCCAGCAATTACTTTCTGTGATGTTAAAAGGACTGGCTCACACCCAAAGCTTCTGTCACGTGGATTACATTCACGACCTTTCACTTGATGAGATGATTTCCTTTGGATGATGACTTGTCTCAATTGTTTCTCCTGCTTCTCTGGCAAGTTCCCTAACCTGGCATCCCGCTCCCAGGCTTTTCCCAACATGGAGACACAGGAACCATCCCCTCTGAGTCTTTTGTGGGGGAGTTCTTCTATCCAAATGCCAAGCTTTGGGGGCAACTTCTTGGTTTCAGGCTTACTGGTCCCATATGAAAGAAAAAAAAACAAAAACACAAGTTCATCTACCCTCCACTCCTATTGCTAGTATATACCTATTTTTTCCCCATTCTTTCTGTCCTTTTCTTGATCTCCTTCCTCGAAATACCCACATAATTGTTCCTTTCATTAACTTGGTTATATATGCAATCTGCATACTGATTTCTCTTTGTTTAATTCCCTCTGATCACTTCTTATAAGGTCTCAGATACTTCTCTGTATTTTTCACATTTCTGATTTCTTACACTACAATAATATTCTTTTAAATTCAAACAGCGCAATTTTCTAGCCAATCTTCATTCAACAGATACATAAGTAGTTTTTGGTTTTTCACAACATAAACAATGAAGCTAGGAATATTATTTTGTGCACATAGGCCTTTCTACTAATCCCCTTCTTAGGATACAGTCCTAGTATAATGATCACTGGATTAGAAAGTATGAAAAATTTTATAGCTTTAACGCCATTATTCTTAAAAGAATAAACCAAATCATAGCTCTACTCTACCAGAGTATAATAGCATACCTGTTTTTACATAGCAGCACCAATACATAATTTTATTCCTTCAAAGTTTCTATTGTGACTTAATGAGTGTTGGGATTTTATCTCCAAATTGTTTTAATTTTCAGTTCTCTGATTATTTCAAAGTTGGAACACTTGCTCCGTGACTATTAATTACCCCAGTCTGTAGCAACACTTGGACCACTTATCTACAAAGGAACAGATCTTATTTTGGTAAACTGACGTCAACTCCTTATTACCTGAAATCTTGCAAATCTATTACAATTAGCTTTTATTGGAAAGTAAAAGGGAGAAGAAATTTCCGTATATCTAATAAGGTATATACCAGAGATACACCTTATACTAAGGAGACAAATACTGCTCAGACTAAAACCATGGACACAGGACACAGTTCATAAGAGTTCTGGGCCTAACATCGGGAAGACCTGAGTTCAAACCATGCCTCAGGCACTTACTAGCTCATTGACCTTAGGTATGTCATTTAGCCTCTCTCTGCCTCAGTTTCCTCATCTGTAAAATGATGACACTCGACTGAACCCGAGGTCCCTCCAAGCTCTCAATCTATAATTGTCTGCCTTCCTCACAGTAAAGATCAATCAAGGACAGTAGAATTTGGACATGTTTGGCCAACAGAAAAAATGTGAGCTGCATCTTAAAGACGGGATGCCTGAGAAGAAAAACAAAGACCTGGAGAAGAGAGGAGCACACTGAAGGAGGGACAGAGAGGAGGCCAGGTTTGCTGGATCACAAAGCAGAGGAAAAAGATAGGTCCAATGAGGCTAGAAGTACAGGCCGGGGTCACATCGCATATGACTTTAAAAACTAAAGAAAGAAGTAAATGTCTTACCCTGGAGGCAACTGGTCAAGTAGGGGAGTCAAATGGTCAGATTTGGACTTAAAATTTCCTTTGGCAGCAGTAGGTAGGCTACACTGGAGCAGTGAAAGAGACCAACTATTAGGCTGATGAGGATCTCAACCAACGGAGGCATAGCACGACTGGAAAAAATGATATAAGAGATAGAAACAGTTATAAAGACAGATGTGGGGGTGGAGCCAAGATGGCGGAGAAAAGGCACGGACTCATCTGAGCTCTCCTAAATTTCGCTCTAAACAACTTTAAAATGACTCCTCAAAATGAGTTCTGGAGCAGCAGAACCAACGAAAGGATGTGGTGAAACAATTTCCCAGCCTAAGACAACTTAGAAGGTCAGCAGGAAAAGTCTGTCACGTCAGGAGGAGAGTGGAGTGCAGTCCCATGCAGGCAACATCCCTGGCAAGATGGCAGCAGGCTGCACGCAGGCAAGCCAGCAGGAGGCTTTAGGAAAAACTGAATCAGCAATAGCAGCTTCCGGAATTCTCAACTCACAGACAGTAAGGGGGCTGGACAACTGGTCACGAGATTACAGGGGTCCCTTTGCTGGCACTGGGTTCAGGACTCTGTTGCACTTAACAGAAAGCCTTCAAAAGCGGAAATGGCCAAATGGAAAAAGATATACAAAATTCACTGAAGAAAAGAACACCTTAAAAAGTAGAACTGTCCAAATGGAAAAGGAGGTAGAAAAGCTCACCGAAGAAAATAATTGCTTAAAAATTAGAATTGGGCAAGTGGAAGCTAATGACTCAAGACATCAAGAAATAATGAAACAAAATCAAAAGAATGAAAAAATAGAAGAAGATATGAAATTTCTCATCAGCAAAACAAATGGCCTGAAAAACAGATCAAGGAGAGATCATTTAAGAATGACTGAACTTAAAGCCACAATCAAAAAAAGGGCCTATACATCACCATTCAAGAAATTATCAAGGAAAACTGCCCTGATATTCTAGAACCAGAGGGTTCTATAGAAATAGAAATTGAAAGAATATACCGATTACCTCCTGAAAGAGTTCCCAAAATGAAAACTCCCAGGAATATTATAGCCAAACTGCAGAGCTCCCAGGTCAAAGAGAAAATATTGCAAGCGGCCGGGAACAAACAATTCAAATATTGTGGAGTCACAGTCAAGATAACAAAAGATTTAGGAGCTTCTACATTAAAGGATTAGAGGGCTTAGAAAATGATATTCCAGAGGGCAAAGGACCTAGGATTACAACCAAGAATCACCTATCCAGCAAAACTGAATATAATCATTCAGGGGGAAACAGACATTTAATGAAATGGAAGACTTTCAAGCATTCCTGGTGAAAAGACCAGAGCTGAATAGAAATTTTGCCTTCCAAATACAAGGCCCAAGAGAAGCACAGAAAGCTAAATAAGAAAGAGAAATCATAAGGGACTCAATAAAGTTAAACTGCTTACATTCTTACATGGGAAGATGATACTTAAAACTTCTAAGAAATTTCTCATTATTAGGGCAGTTAGAAGAAGTATACATAGACAGAGGGCACAGTTGTGTGTTCAATATGATGGGATATATAAAAAAAATAAAATTAAGAGGTGAGAAAGAGGAATGCATTGGGAGGAGGAAGGGAGAGGTGGAATGGGGTAAATTATCTCACGAAAGAGCTTTTACAATGGAGGGGATTGTGGGGGAAGTAGCAAGGGTGGGTGGGAAGTACTTGAACCTTACTTTTACCAGAATTGGCTCAAAGAGGGAATAACATAAACACTCAGTTGGATATAGAAATCTACCTTACCCTACAGGAAAGTAGAAGGGGAAGAGGATGAAGAGAAAGTAAAAGAAGTGAGGACAAATCGGGGGAGGCAGTAGTCAGAAGCAAAACACTTTTGAGGATGGACAGGGGGAAAGGAAAGAGAATGATAAACAGGAAAAAAAAACAGGATGGGGGGTTCTCTGATAAAGGCCTCATTTCTCAAACAGAGAACTGAATCAAATTTATAAGAATGAGTCATGATAAATGGTTAAAGGATATCAACAGGAAGTTTTCAGATGAAGAAATCAAAGCTATCGAATCATAGAGAAAAGTGCTCTAAATTACTATTGATTAGAGAAATGCAAATTAAAGCAATTCTGAGGTAGCACTTCATACTAATCAGATTGGCTGATATGACAGAGAAGAAAAATAAAAAATATTGAAGGGGATGTGGGAAAATTGAGACACTAATGTACTTTTGGAGTTGTGAATTGATTCAGTCATTCTGGAGGGCAATTTGGAACTATTACCAAAAGAGCCATAAAATTGTGTATATACCCTTTGACCCAGCAATGCCACCACTAGGTCTGTATCCTAAAGAGATTTTTAAAAAAGAAAAAGAGAGACGGAAAAGGACCCATATGTACAAAAATACTTATGGCAGCTCTTCTGGTGGTGGCAAAAAATTGAAAATTGAGGGAATACCCATCAATTGAGGAATGGCTAAATAAACTATGTATATATGATTGTGATGGAACATTATTGTGGCATCAGAAATGATGAGCAGGATGCTCTCAGAAAAACCTGTAAAGACTTACATGAAGTGATGCAGAATGGAGTGAGCAGAACCAGGAGAACATTGTACACAGTAATAGCAATATGGTATGCTGATCAATTGTGAATGACTTAGCTATCCCCAGCAATACAGTAATCCAAGACAATTTTGAAGGACTCATGATAAAAAATGCTGTCCACCTCCAGAGAAAGAACTGATGGGAGTCTGAACGCAGATCAAAGCAGACTTTTAAAACTTTCAGGGCAGCTAGATGGTGCAGTGGATAGAGCATCCAGGCCTGGAGTCAAGAAGACCTGAGTTCAAATGTGGCCTCAGACACTTACTAGCTGTGTGGCCCTGAGAAAGTCACTTAACTTCAACTGCCTCCAAAAAGATTATCTATCTATCTATCTATCTATCTATCTATCTATCTATCTATCTA